CTAAACCCTAAACCCTAAACCCTAAACCCTAAACCCTAAACCCTAAACCCTAAACCCTAAACCCTAAACCCTAAACCCTAAACCCTAAACCCTAAACCCTAAACCCTAAACCCTAAACCCTAAACCCCTAAACCCTAAACCCTAAACCCTAAACCCTAAACCCTAAACCCTAAACCCTTAAATACCACCTTGTAGGGCTGTGCTAAGGCGTGGGAAGCCCCAACTGAGCGCGGTTCCAAGTTGATCCCTGAAATGTTGTAAATGACGATTGAGGGCTGTTGATTCTCGCATGCAGACGCTGTGTATATCTGCAACGCGGAAGCGTTCTTCATACTTTGTCTTGTGTAACTTTTAGCATTAGCTCTTGTAGACTCTGCACACGCTAGACACACAGCGAGGTTCCTCACAAAGTTGCATCCACGTCTGACCACGGCAGTACTGTATGCTTCAGAACATCCGAAAAGCACAACATCGGCTGCGAGACGTGAACTGCCTCGTCATTAGACTTTTTTTTATGCTCTGAGTATTTTCCACCCTAAAGGAGATAGTACTCCATCCTTGATGCATGCACCAAGTCGTGGTAGACGCACTGTGACATCTGCTGCCATTTCTGAGGTGTCCTCACAGTAAATTATGCAGCACGTTGTCCAAAGATACGACACATTATAACAGTACCTTACTGCAGGCGGCCCCCGCTACTCAAGTAGAGCAGTCATAAAAAAATTGTTGGAGAGAACAACACACGGCAAAGATGTGTAGGTGGGCTGGGAAGTTTGTTAGAAAGTGTCATTCATGCTGTAATTTTACCAAGCATCAGAAAGCCTCATCGACAGGGTCTAACAGCTCATATTTTAAGACCTTGCATCCAAGGCCGTACAGCTAATTTTGAATACGGACCAGGCTAACTGAGGCATATGGAGGGAGATATCGTTGCTTGATAACGTCCCTTAAAAAACCCTGAGGTCCCATGGCCCTTATCAATTTCTCCAGACGTGGACTGTCCTGTACTGCTGCAGTACGAGGTGCCCTTTCACCAGGTGAAACCTAGAGTGCCTTTTTAAGTGAGCGAAGCCTCCAAGCTCGCCCAGACCGTCCGTTGTAGGGGACTCTAAAGAAGGCTATGCAACCCACGGAGATGTATGCTCTGAACGCAAATGCCGTGATCGGCTATACTAGCAAGTGCCATTTGTCCACAAAGACAGTGTTGTCCTCAGCCTTAAGCGCAGAGCAAAGTGGCGTGCCTGCTGGGTGTACACCATTTTCCAGAAAGTAAGCGGGCATGGTAACTAAACAGGAGGAATTTCCACATACATTCATGAAGATCAAAGGCAATTCCCTGCAAGCAGCGCACCCAAAGTGCATCCTCGTTGGTGTAGGGTCGAAAAGTAACTCAAGAGAAACGGAATAATCTAGGGTTTGGGTGGAACTCGCTGCCGCAAACATTAGTTAAGCTATCTGCCGGTTTTTGTGACCTTAGGAGAGATACGCATACGATCGAATCACATTATCTTTCCTGGGGGGGGCATTCTTCTACACTGCGTGCAGGCAGAACAAAGGAACACATTCACTCTGCCTACAGCAAAATCGACATGCACGAGCGCGCACTGTACGCTATGGTGGAAGTGTGGATTTTTCACTCAAATTTATAAGCAAACATTGATTCACAGTAACTTATGCTCCTCAGCATCCCAAATATAATATTTCTGTACAAGATTGCCTTAAACTTTCTGCTTTGAGCCTTTTACACGTGATTCTGAGCGAAGGGATGCTCTCATATGATGGATACTCACACCAGGGAAAGTCTTTGGCTGTATGAAGATAACTCATGTAGACAGCTAAAATCAAGTTCCAGTTTCACAACCGACCGCAGTGCAGCACCCCTTCATGAGGGTTTCTGGGTTCTCATGTGCTGGAAAATTCCTCGTCCTGCAGTCCAGGAGAATCGGGATGACGTATTTTGAACACTTACATGTATGACGTACTCCACAGGAGAGGTGCAAATGAGCCAACGAACTGCCCATGTTGCTTTGAAAAGAAGGCCTACAAGCTTCTATGCAGGAATGCATGAGTCTAGAATCCAGAATAACGGGATCTCATAATCCTATGAAGCGGATCCTGCCCCGTGCACAACGCAGATACAAACTTGTGCTACGGGGGAGCACTCGCTAGATTCATGCAAAACTCTTCAATACTCATGAAAGGCACTGCACCATGACGCAGCCAGTTTTGCGCCCAATGTTCTTGAGCGTCCCCTTCCAACACATGTTGTGTAAATCCGCAGTCGATCCAGCAAAGTCTAGGACGGGACCAGTGCAGCAGCGATAGGTACAGCTTAGACTAATGGCCCCTACTACAAGGTCCTGAATGCCACAGTTTTTTTACATACTAGCCTTGGGTAAATCTGGTACTTGAGCACTCTTCTAGAGAAAATTGCTGAATTCAAGAGCCGTCCAAGTTCGCCTTATCACAGCCGTTTGTGGCATCTGCCCCGTGGTACAAATATGAAACAGTTTCATTCCCAACATTACCTAAATGAGAATAACAGTGCTACCTTGCGCGATGAAGCGCGTCTAATTCAACCTGCTTGAAAGTCGAGATGTTCTTGAACTCATGCATCAGGAATGCCATCTGCCTTTTCTACTTGTTTAGCCACTGCTTTGCATCGGACGCGGCACTGCTCGTCTCTGCAGCTATCACTATTTCCAGGGTGACCTATCGCCTTCCGAGATTCTTAGTGGCTGGAAGCAGTGCAGCTATCTTCTAGCTCGCATGCAAGCTGGCATTTCACCTCCCGAAAACGCAGGTGATCATCCTCAGCTACCAACATTTGCAGGTAATCCCTCCATGCAAGCACCTGGGGGAGGCAAGAGGAAAAGTTGTTACTGTGACGTAAACGGCTCCTTCTGCTTTGGCAAACCCCTAAATTATCTTTATCGAGCAAGCTCTTCCAGTGTTGTGCAACATCGACAGGCGTCACTGAGGCTTTCTGCAGTCAACGTCCTGTCACTCTTCAGGTTCTGAATCATTGTGATAAAAAGTGACCCCCAACGCGTAGTCCATTTCCTTTTGACACGAACTTTCGGAGGAGACTGTTTTGACCTCCTATTCTTTGGAAGCCACTAAGTGAAGGTTTTCACTCAAATTGAACGTCCCGTGGGTATTGCTCTTGAGAATGCACTTGGTCACCCATAATGCACAAAACTTGCACCGGACGCCGTTTGCGCACCCCTCCTCGCACAGCTCGACAGATTCACGTTTCACCGGTCCACTTTTGCCGCCGTTCTCAAACCTTTCGTTCCTATGGGAGCTTAAAGTATCAGCTCTGCACTCCGAAAACCCAGATACCCGCTTCTCCCTGTACGCAGCCCCTCCTTATCCGAGCAGCACTACGCAAAACTTTATTCTCGTTGGTGAACAGGGCGGAGGCGTCAAGGTGGTCATACCATCGTCTGCATTCTGCAGGCTCCGTGTTATCCTTCCCAAGATTCTTGGTTCTGCTGAGGCGCATGCTTCTTTCCGAAATCCGCGGTGCTTCTGTCATGTGTGGCTGTCATCTCAGTTGACACTCGTCGGCTGAACTGATTCCTTTACTCACGTCCGACAAGATAATCCTGCAGTACTTGTAGATGTCCTTCGGTCACTAACACTTTTTTGGACCGGATATAAAATACGGGTTGTTCCTTTTCTGGGAATCGGAGTTCCCTCCGTGAAGCTCGCAAGTACTTACCGTCGTATTGTAAGCAAACGTCGTACAATTGGAATCGGCTTGGCATCTCTTTTGGCATTCCGTGGCAGTGCTTGTGGACAAGATTTGAAGCGGCACTGCGACGTATTTGACCCCTCTAAGTGCACAACCTGGAGCAGCCAATGCATAAAGTGGCTCGGCTCCACAGCCATCCTTAGGACCACTCCAAAAGCCTTTTGAACGTGCACCCACAGCACTCTTAGTCTCCCCAAAGAGATAGCATCCCCGTTTACTCGATTCATAGGTCCACCTGCTGCACTTTGAATTTTCTGAACATTGGTAGTGACACTCTGAAATTTTGTCTGTATTCATTGTGGCAACCCTCTGCCCTTGGTATTCAATGTCCTTTAGGAAGCAGCTTGTGTCACAGTGCTTCGGTCCAGTCACGTCTCCACGCTTAGAGAAATAGAATCTTTGTCCTCTAGAAGATTTGAGAAAGCATATTTTATCTATTCGATTGTAGGTGAACCACTTGCAATTGCTGTTAGAGAGACAGGTAATATTGCAGGCCCCATCAGAAGGTGATCCTCGCACCATTGTAAAGTCCACACCATCGGTGGTATATATATCAACTAGGCACGATTCTGCATAATTAGCTGCTTTGCTGCTCACTGAGCAGCTTCCCCTGAACCCACTTACTGCGTTAGCGTCGGCTGCCGTAAGCGCACCATTCGGATAGGAGACACATTGTTGATCCTTCCATGTGAAGGCGCGGCAAGTCGGCTCTCCCTCACACATTGCCTGGCAGATATTCGGGTTGGGGGCAAACCCCAGCGAAGTCCCATCCTCAATGAACTTCTTGCCTTTCTGAAAGCACTCCGAGTCGCAAGACGGCACAACCAGTGTCGACAAGCCTCTCGTGAGCCCCCGCAAGCTTTTCATCAGACTGCATGTTGACGCGTACTCATCATAAATTGCACCGATGCAATACCTCGTCTGAGCGCACAGCTCCTGGCAATCATCTGCACTGGAAATGCTAGAAAGCGTTTCAAGGACCTCCGACTTGCCGTTGTCCACAAGAGTGCCCATACCAGCGCATTCGTTTTGGGGTCCAACATTAACGGCATAAGCCTTCTCCTCGCCTGATACAGTTTCGAATACAACAACTAGAGAACCGTCAGGAGCCTGGATCGTGGGTAGATGCGTATAAGGTGTTCCCCATTGAGCTTCAATCATGGACTGAGCATCGAATGATTGATCTGCTTCTACATCTTGATGCTTCGCGGCGTTCCATGCTTCCGTCCTTTCCTGGTTTGAAAGGGCTACGACCATGGCGGCCAGAACCGTTAGTTCCTTGACCTGCCTCATCGAGCGGCGCATAAGATTAAGGCGTTGCACAGTGCTTAAATATGCGAAGATATACCAACCAAGCCTTTATTTAGGCAGGACCGAAGGCTTAATCCAAGCAGGATGGAGCCAAAGTAAAATTCTGCTTCTCAAATGTGTGGACTGCTGCACTTCATCCACGCGTATAATGCATGGAAGTCACAAGAACCCGATCTGAAGTTGGCGGCTTACAAGTGCTGTTCTTCAGAGACCGGAGTTAAGTACGCTCCTAGCACAGGAGAACGCACTTGGCAAGTTGACGGTCACAACTGAGATTGCGGCGGTGTTCTACCGTTCTAGGTCAGCATTCATCACAGATCACCACTGGGAAGTAATGTAATTGAAGTCTGGACATAGATGGTTTGAAAGAAATATGCGGCTCAAAACAGGCTAAGACCCACTTCTGCACCAATATGAAACAGGAGCTGGGTAAACAGGAAGCGACTGGGCAGTGCAGAGTGTGTGACATGGCGACGTGAGCAGGGGAAGCTGATGGCATCGCTAGCTGCAAATATCTGAAGACACACTGAGCATGGCACGATAATGTCTGCATTAGGTCAGCTAATTTTGTTTCTTTCAAAGTAAACATGTAGAGGTCATAGAGGATCTGTTTCTCTGGTGAAGAAACATGGAGTAATTGCATATCTACGTGCGTCTACTTGTGCAAGCCCGTGTGCCTGGAGCCGTGCTCCTGTGCCGACAAGAATACTGATATCATTGGGACGGCCCTCCATTTACTAGCTGCAGTTTCCTAGATATAAATGCATGGGGAAGGTACCTGTGAGTGGAAGGGTGCCTCTAAAGACGACTCCAGCCCCCGTATGACACAGCGCTGAACTTGCCTACTCACAATTCTGTAATGTAACCTATCTTTTATGTGCGTTTAGCTTATTTACACTATAGTTAGTTTTTACAAAAATTTCAACAGCTATATACTAATTCTAGTATTCTAACTGCTGCAAACAAGCTTCTTTATTGTTATGCCAGGTCTGCATGGTGGATATGGTAACTACTTCTTACCAATTTATATAGGAGCTTCAGAAGAAGCTTTCCCTAGACTAAATTGAGTATCATTATCATAATTTCTACCGATCGCTTCTATTGTAGTACAGACATTGGCTATATAGGCAAATATTATAAAGTTTCATAAGATCAGATTCAAAGCATACATTTGTGAATGTAATAATCGACTTCATATTTTAACGCCTGTCCTGTTCCTTTGATGTAGTTATCCATGTTAGACTTACATATGTATAACTACTAAATACCAACACTTTTGAAAAAAATGTGGCAATAAGCATAAATATGCACATGATCTCCTGGATACTGAATCCTTGCGTGATCCCACTGGCACGGTCCCTGGCTGAACTGTGTTAAGCAACATTCCGAGCAGAGTTAACTAGAAATGCTCCAGTAGTACCTCCTAATGTAAATAAGAAAATAAAACTTAAAGCATACCATTTATCTAATGATATTGTACTAAACATCACGAAGTAACTAAATAGGTATGAACTTTTTCCTAGACAGTATCAAAGATTTTTACCAATAGGGACTCCAGAAGTTAAACTGTCGAGTCGAAATGGGAACAACCGGAAAGGTTACTGCATGTCCTAAAAAAATATATTTGAGTTCAGATATGTGCTATCATCTCTCTGTCACCTTCTGAAACGTTTATTCCGCCAGAAGGTTCTTGTTTGTACACATTAAGTGCTCCCAATCATTCTCGACGCTAAGACCGTCCATGGGCTCTGCCATTCTTCTTTCAGTGTAGGATATCAGCTTCCCGAGATCAGCAGAGCTGCAGCAAGAGATGCTGCTGATAACCCATTTTATCTTAGAAGACACGGAGTTTACTCTCAGTCCATCGTGTCTTATTCTAGAGAGTTGATGATAATATATCCGATTTGAGACATGCCTAACGATCTGCATCAAAGGTCTCCTGGATCGGGCAAAGCTACTATTCAAATTTTCTGCTACACTAGTTGTCTTTACTTAAGGATTAATAGAGAACGGGCTTATTGGTTTGCTTGGTTAGCATATTCTATTCGCTGCAGAGTACTGCGAATTCGACATAAGAAGGCGCAAAATTGTGTCCCGGGGTATGGCTCTATCTGAGGTTTCTAGAAGGAGCTACTTCCCTCAAGGCTTATTCCAGAATAAATGAAAAGCCGTTACGCTGCCTTTCCCTACCATCTGCCCTTAGAATCTTTGATGAGAGCGCAGAGGGATGGCTAGAATGCGCGTAGCTGCACTCTCTACGTGATTCTGACATCTATTCCGCGTTCCGAATCGCATATGCTCCATTGGTAAACAGCAGTTGTGTCCTGTTGTGTTGAGCCAATACTACTCTGCATAAACAGTGGTGCCAGCAGATTAACCGATTGGTCAATTCTTCAAATCCCGCTAGTTGGATGCAATTATTCTACCTGGAAGTGTTGAAGAACACTTTAGACCGCAGCACGCCTCTCTTCAAACTCGCCATCATGATCCCTACCCCGCCCTCAAGACCAACTGCTCGCACGATAGCGGAAGCGTTCCCTTCCTCTCGCCACTTCCTAGGAGGAACAATCGAGAAAAACACTGGAACTGGCAAGTAGTAAAGTATTAATTACAGTCATTGCTTCAGCTGCACTCTATAGAAATGCCCTGCCCTTGCCTCTGATTGCAACGTTTAAAACGGGATGAGGGGCTCTTGTGGGGTTTTGTGTTGCGTTCTACCAGGAAGATAAATAAGGCGGAAACGGTATAAGCTCATTGTGAAGTGTTGTATTCCTTGAGGTAAGTCGACTCGGGCGTCGGGTGCCTGCACAATCGTAAAATATTTGATCTTCCGTGTTTGTACGGAACCAGGCAATGAGCAGCTTGCACCATAGGGAGCGTGGGATTCTAAACATTGATACACGCAAACGGTTTGGGAGTTTTGCGTGCTGGATGCTAGAGCTGTCAGCAACAAGCACCAAATAACAGTGTCGGGGTCGCAAGGATTACAGGCCTCCTAGAGACTCCACACAGCCCCACTGGTAGCCTGATATCAATGTGGACAACACATTTCCGTACCCGCTAAAAGGGGTCCTTGAAAGACACAAGCCCTCCGCCAGAGCCCGCACTTCGGTAGCTAAAGCTGATGATCTGCCGCTGAGCTCAAGTCAAGCGATGCAGTAAAAGCTGGCACAAGCAGTCCTCGGGGCAGATTTCAGCGTAACCGTGGTCGATTACGCGCGCTTCCATCATCCAACTCCCTTGGCCTGCAACTCCCTCTTCGCTGCTTGCTTGCCTCTTCATTCTAAACCGGAGGGCGCTGCATTCCATGTGTTACCTTACCATATGGCGCATTAGGGGTTTTCAGATTCACTGGCAGCTTGACCATGTACAAATCTCTGGGACTAGCGAAGAGTTGCTCCTCGCAGAACCCTACATATCCAGCTTCCGAAGGACCACTTTTTGCAATGCCTAGCAGATCGAGGTGCCACTACTGGAAAGCTTCTAGAATTCTTATTAAATGTCTTACTCAGCTTACTGGCATTACACTTAAACAAAAATAAACTTCGCAATCGAGTCTTATCGAATCTTCTTAACAGAGCATAATACGCACTTTACAACTATGCATCAGTCCACAGCTATGTCCTGGTACTAAGCATTGCTGCTAATACGCAAAGCAAAGCTCTACATGAGCCCCCTCATATCGTAGTAACACATTGCAACAAGAGATAAGAGCAATGAAATTCTATTATCTGTAGTAAAAGCCTTGAGTGTAGTCCAGAATTCCCTCCAACGTCCACCTTATCTAGGAAGAGTTTCACATAAAGTGACTCACAAGCAATCAAAAGCCAAAACATGAAGTATATTGGGAATGGAACTGTTCGTGATCAAAACAAGTGCGGAGTCATGGTGCGTAAAGCTTTCCCCGGCACCGAGCTTCCCTTCCTGTTGTCACCTACGTCCCCTCAACAACAGCTATTGCTGTACACCCTTCTGTGTGTGTAGCGGGCCTGGGGGCGTGCTCGCATGTGCTGCTTTCCAAAGGCCTTCGCCCTGAAACCCTTTCTGTGTTGTGAGCAAATAACGAATTTTTCCTCTACCCGAGAAGTGGCAAGAGCCCAACACGTGCATCGCTTCTGAGGCTAGCCGTTGAGGAAAACCGATACCTTGAGCTGCCTGGTTGCACTCATGCACGCTGCTCTAAGGCTTATCCAAATCTGGCTCACTCCTTTTAGTGCGGACTTTGAAGATGCAGCGTGCAGTATTCGTTTAGGACAAACTTTGCAAAGAAGGACATCGCTGATACTCAAAAAGACAAAGGGGCTTCGGGGAGCTTGGGCTTGAGGAATCGAACTGCTGGTCTCTCCACAAGGCGCGTTCGTGCGGACGGCGCTAGCGCATACGGCCGCTGCATGTTTCTGCTGGGAGTGCTTTTTGTAGATCAATTTCACCTGCCCACTATAACATGCTACCGCACGCACTTGTAACTTGTATGCTCCTATTTTCTTCTAAATGCCTTTGTAATGAGCTACCTGCAGCTGTAATCGAATTATACCACTTTTTAAAATAATTTCAACCAAATCATGCATTAAAATCGGAAGGCAGGTAAATGGCGGCTCTTTAGCGAGGGAGACAGTTCCAAAAGGAGAATTTTAAAGGTTGCTTCGAAAAGCCCAAACTCGTCGCTTTAGATTTTCGTGCAAGCTGTTGTCAGTCTTCCAGTGGTGCAGCGGTGGACAATACAAGTAGTGCTTCTTCCTGAGACCACTACACTCAACGTTCTCAAGCTCCAGAGGAAGAGGTAGAATCAAAGAGAAAATATGCGACAGCGTGTGCTGTACGAATGCATTTAGGCACGTACAGGATAGGGTCACAGATTCCACTGTTTAACGGCTACAAATAGCCTTGATAGTTTAGCGTACACTTTTACTCAGTGCCTGCCAAACACGGCGAGACACCACGAAGAAGGCTTCCAATATCCATCACAGACTACAACGCTCTTCGAGCGTTCCTTT